CACATGCTATGATATGCATTGTCCTTGAAACTGTTGCCAGAAAAAAAGGGGAAAAACCCTATTATATTTTGGTACTGGCGAAGGAGGTCTAATGATGCAGGCCAAGTGGGTTTGTGGTGCGACACGGCGCTGCGCCGATGATTCATAACAAGGATGAGAATGCATTTTATCACTCAGGCCTTCACGACCAATTTTACTATTGATAAGTTTCTTTTTTGGGGGATGGATCACGTAAATAAAATTTGTGTCGTAAAACCCTCCTCCACTCAACACGGCCAATTAATGAAGTCGTCACGTGAACAAAAGTGCCAGTTTATTAACAACACACCGGTGGTGCTGCGGAAGCAGCAGCAATTAATCGACACGATTGTTCCCATGACAACGTTAATAATTGTCTGCGTCGGGTGGAGGAGGGTTTACGACACAAATCAATTGTGCATCGAGTATGAAGGCTGCACACAGTTGCCACATCGTGATGCTGCTCCTGTCCAATAATAAATCGGCCTCTTTGTTTCCTTTGGTTTTCTAAATCCACCCCGTGTGCTCATGTCATGTGACATGTGATGCATGATGGGAGGACCTCGCTCGTCACATGGTCACAATCGCACCTTTTACTGTCAGAGACTCACCTTCTGCATGCTTAATTATTACTCTTGTGTCCAGCCTGGAGATACTTCCCTGTCTGATGAGCTTCTCATCATTACAGAATGGTCAGAATGGTTTAGGGTAACGCCTGTGCCCGTAGTACGATGGCTTGAATTCGGCAATTTAACACGCAGGCTTTTGCGACCAATATTATTCATAATAAAGGTATAAATGTGTCGTAACCCTCCACCACCCGACACGGCCAATTAGTAAGGGATTTGTCACGTAAACAAAACCGGTGTGTTGGAGAGTAAATCCACAACATTTACAATCTGAGTAGTACGGCGTTTCGCTGGTAATTACATCCAGCATCATCGACCGATTTGCAGGAATAGTCTGGCAAATCACCCGATGATATCGCCTGATGATACCTACAAATCCCGTAAAGAATTTGGCAAGTGGACCGCACTGTCGATTAGGACGAGGCGGCGCATTGTTCCCGCTCTTTGCGTAATTTTTTTAAGATGTGGTTCCGTTAAAATCGTCGATAAGCCAAAATCACGATGTACGCGCGTGCGGGTTTTCTCTCGCGTGCACAGCGTACTTATCAAACGTCGGTGACCAGGACCCATCTGAAACGGTATTACGATCCTTGTGCCAGTGGAGGATGATCCAGAAACGTGTAGCAAACCACGGTGCCATTTGATGAGGAAGGGGCGACGGTGGGGGATTTCCCTGGCTCTGCTCTTTTTTCTCCCAAGGACTGCTGCACTCTCCGTTGTCATTCCCCGGTGTGTGGTGGAGGGGGGGGGGGGGTCACATTTACAGCGCCCAAGGGCCTGAGCCGGGCGTGGTGCTTGAGTGGGACGCTGCCGGGGAGTACCTGGACGCGAGGTGGCCAGGAGATGGCAGCGCAGACATGGATCCTCGAATCTCTCCGTGCAGGGCTTTAGCATCAACCCTCGCTATTTTATTACCTCTGCACCTCCCTCCCCCTCCACGCGCATTCGGCGAATCGCACCCAGGGAAGCTGCGTGTGCGATCGCACTGCATAGGGGTGCGCCGCTATTCAGTTTGGTAGCTTCATTGGGAGACTTGGTATATTGATAGTTGGTGGCTGCCAGGCTGTACGTACGCACGTTGAACTTCTTCCGCCACCGTGCGTAGCCCACCGTGCTCATCAGAGGTGCGGGGGAAGGACAACAAACTAAACACAAAAAGCAGTTCTGAAGAATATTATTTGGGTCTTTCGGTAAAGATCGGTAAAAAAAAAATGTTTGAACCTTTTTGTTTAACCTATCTACGTGACTTTACCAAAAGGCCCAAAAAATATGAATTCCTGCAGTCACGAAAGCTTTTAGTCAAGATTCAGTTCCAAAGAAGTTAGTTTTCAATGTAGATTTAAACGTGCATAGCTCCGGCGGCTTCCTAATATCGGAAGGATAATCACCTGTGCCAGCGCCTGCATCCTATTCGGCTCTCGGCAAAGAAACGTCCCGCACGCCCTGCTGCGGTGTTTTGCTTCGTAGCTCTCCGTGAGCGTGGCTATCATCTGAAAACGGTCCCCACTCTCCCTCTCCTTGACACTCTATCCAGTTAGAGTCCAGTTCTCATGTTCTCCATTCTACTTGCTCAATGCCCATGACCCACGAGGCCGTGTGCACAATTTTCTTTTATAATTTTTGCGCTTGATCCACCACTAAATTATATAGCTCTTTTTCATAAGAGACCTGGCTATCACAAATGGCAACTCAACAAGGTGACTCACCGTGCGGACATTTTTAGCAGCCAAATACTCTAAACGTATGTTTCTAAATGTGGAGGGGAAAACCGGAGGATCCGGAGAAAAATCTACGCGACCACGCGGAGAACATGCACACTCCAAACATGCAGGTGTCAGAGTCGGGATCGAACCCACGACCTCCTATAGAGCAGGTGAGGTAGTTAACATCTCTCCACTGCAGTCTCATGTACGTGTACCTTCAATTTCAGTAAAACTTTCAAAGATGTTCCGACCGGTTATGAACAATGCACATCCGAAATGAAACGTGAATCGCCCCGTCAACGATTAGCCGGGACGGCTCCTTCCATCATATTTCATATCCCGTCTCGACCTGGAAATCCAGTTTCAAGATAAAATTGCTCCACTTCCTCCAAATTTTCGCTGTAATAATAATAATTGTTAAAATTTAATTTACTTATCTATCCAGCAAAGCCACACTGAGTTGTAGTCTTCTTTTACAGCAGGGTCCTGCATTGGGTCAGGAAACCGGAGCATGTAAGGGGGCAACACTCTATCCCCATACAGGTGGAAAAAGATGGCGATTAGTCCACTTGTTGTACTGCCTTCTCCTGGCAAGCCAGGGTATCGCTCCTCCTTGACGTCCACGGGAAACGAGTTTCGCAACATCCGTGGGGTGATCCACCAACGCTCGCCTCCACAGTGCTGGATGGCAGGCCACGTGCATAGCCACTACCGCCCGGCTTGAGCCTTGGCAAGCAAACAACTGTGTCATGCAAAACTGAAGTTAAATGGGTCGCATTCATTGCGTACAACTTTGTTAAATACTCAAAAGGTTGCTCAACAGCCTGTTATGGAGATGACGACTTTACATAAACTGTGTGGCACCATTTCAAGCATTTTCAATGCAACAGTGAGACGAAACGTGTGCAGATGTTGGAAACAAAAGATTATTTTTTACTTAAAATTGAGTCTTCGTCATCGTCAAAGCTTCGAAGGAATCCCAGCATCTCTTGCACGCCAAGAGGACATCGCATGCATTGTGTGTATCCCACAATACAGCCTCGTGATAGCCACCAGCTCAGGAGCAGAGGCGTTCTAAGCTCTGTTGTTACGTGTTGCTGTTGTAGACGTGTTTTTGTACATGTACAGGTTGATCCAGGTATATAGATAGCCTGCTAAAATAATGGGGAGAAATTAGATATTTTTTTTAGTGGCAGACTACGTATCTCCCACTAACCTCAATAGAAACTATTCAATCTGGGAATACTCTCGTCTACAACGTATGGAGCCATCGCTTACGCAGTGTTCAATCAAAGGGGCGTTAGACATTGGTGGCGTAGCTCTAACTTGATCGCTACGCACTGTCGTTGTTGCCTCTCAATTGCAGCCCGCCTGTGCGACCATAACAAGCTGAGAGACCCGGCACCGTAGCTCCGTGTGCCTAACACACAAACACCGCGTGCAGGGTCAGAGATGGATTGTTACAGGACCACAGGATTATGAGAGGTGACAGTCTGGGGAGGCCTTCATCCAGCAGTGGATTGGCCAATGCTGATCATGTTGCTGGCATTGTGAAGGTTTTGGCATTGTAGTGTGACCACGCTTTGAACGATTGAAGTTGAAGGGTTTGTTAGGGACTTCATTGTGCCAGATAGTCTGGGGAACTAACCTCATCTTTATTATTGTTTAGATACATTCTATTGGTTTTATCACTGTCATAATTCCATTATTATTGCCCATCCTGTCAGCTATGGCTTCGTACCATTAACTTCAGTGGCCTCACAATTGTCATTCATGCAATCATCAGTACACCAGATACTATTATTAATTATCACTATCCACATAAATATTCCTATTTTTATTACGAACAGACCCATCGTCATCATCAAGCCATAATCTGAATGTTTGGTTATGGGCATCATGGACGGGATGACATCAGAGTTGAGTCGCTCACTGCCACCACTACGAATCAGTGCCCAGCTTAAGCTCAAGGTAACCACGACTTTGAGCTGCCCAACGAGATCCAGAAGCCAGACTTGAGCAAAGCTGCAGCTACGACCACGGGCCGATATGCACGTGGCAATGAGTAGTGCACGTCCAGTGGGCTTCAGCAGTGTCACTACGATTCATGTGAATTCAATTTCCAAAAAATAGAGTTTTTTTCGTTACAAAACATTCTTACCGCTCTCCTGTCATTCTTCTCCGTGCACAATCCTCCCCGGTTTTCTGTCGGAGCCCCCCAGTCAACCTTAGTTGAGTTCGAGATCACTCATTCTCCTCTGCTGCCGCCATAGTCTGGAATTCCCTTCCCCCAGATATCCGTGCTCCCAACTCTCTGCAATCGTTTCAGTCCAGCCTCGTGCACCTCCTTCCATTTTGCCTCTAACCGACTGCCGCCATACAAAATAAACAAATCACGTGCATGGTTTTTGTACAGCGTCTCGAGTTGCGGTTGCATTTAAATGATAGATACATTCAAATTGTATTCATAATCGCGTTGTGCATAACGTGAATTGCGATGCCGCATGCTGGCTTTTGATTTGCCCCATTAATCCGCTGTGCGTCACGATTCGCTTCCGCGCGCGAGACCACTCTGCAGATCGAGTGGCGTGCGAGGCTTCCCCTCGGCCGCTGGTCGGCTTCAAGTCCTCTCGTCCGTGTTCCCCGACAGATCGCCAAAGAGGAGCGCACCTCCTCCCGCCTGGGCGCCCTCAGCGGGAGCAGAGACCGGCTGCCGCTGCACCCTGAGGTCCCGGCGGCCGCCGGCGGCGCCACCCCCCCAACTCTGGCGCGGCCGGCCACGTCGGGGGCCTCGAAGCCGAGGCCGGCCACATCGGCGTCCTCGCCCAAGCCGGCCGGCGCAGGGCTCGTTCCGCTGCCGTCCAAGGTGCCGCAATACAGAGGAGGGGCGCCGTCCATCACCGTGGCAGCGCCTCAGGGGCCCTCGGCAACACCAGTGATAGTTAAGCCTCCAACAGTGACGGCGGAGGTAGTGAAAGCCCCAGAGGTAGTTAAGGCTCCATTAGTAACAAGAGGGGTAGTTAAGGCTCCAGTAGTAAGAAGAGATGTGGATGAGGCTCCATCAGTAATGCCAGAGGTAATTATGAAGCCCGCATCAGTAACACCTGATGTGACATTGGTGGTGAAGAAGGCACCAGAGATGGAAATTCACGCCCCGCCTGTAGCGACGGCAATGTCTCAGGTACGGTCGGGAACGCCCGATGATCCTCCCTGCCCACCAGTTGCAGCGCCAGCTTCGACGCTCACGCCGCAGGGGTTTAAACCCCGGGCAGTAGATGTCGAGGCACATGGGCCTCCGTCGGTCAAAGCAAAGGTAGAGAAATATCCCTCGGCATTATCAGGAGCAGACGCATCTTTACCAGTAACAGCAGAGGCTGCTAAAACGCAATCGGTAGTATCAGAGGCTGCTAAAACACAATCACTAATGTCAGAGGCTGCTAAAGCATTGTTAGAAACAGCACCATCTGCAGCTGCAGAGGTTGCTGCAGCACATTCGTCGTTGTCAGCGTTTCCTGTGCAGTCGACCGCACCGGTGGCGTCTCCCCAGTATCCTTCGTCCGTCGCGCGGTCGGAATTGACCACGGCAGCACGCGCGGCGGTGACTCTGCCGCCCGCCGGAGCGACAATCGCAGGGGCGGCGGCAGACGTCGGGCCCGCGAGCGCCCTCGGCGCTCGGAAGCCCTCGACGGCCGCAACGGTGCCCGAGCGCTCGGCGGCGAAGCCAACCCCGGAGCCTGCGCCGCCCGCCCGCGTCTCCGCTGCGGCAGCGACGGCGGCACCGGAAGGGGCCGCGCCCGCGGGGGCGAGGGCTGCTTCGGCAGGCTTGGGCCCGCCTGCGGCATGGGCGGCACCGTCGCCAGTGGAGGTCGCGGCAAAATCCCCACCGTCGCGAGCGGCGGAGCGGATTGAAGGCGGCGCGCACGCAGAAACCGCAGCAGCTGCCGATGTCCCACAGACGGCAAACGGATCCCTTCCAGTTGCATTGCTGACGAGACCCTCGGCAAATGTTCAGTCGGTCATCGCGCCAACCAAGATGACGGCAAAATCTGAGGTGACTAAAGGGACGAGTGAGCAGGACCCTTCGAAACACTCTGCCACCACCCTGAGTCAGAAGACGGCACCCACCGTGCCCGCCACAGCTCCTACCAGGCCCACCACAGCTCCTACCAGGCCCGCCACAGCACCCACCGTGCCCACCACAGCACCCACCGTGCCCACCACAGCACCCACCGTGCCCACCACAGCTCCTACCAGGCCCACCACAGCACCCACCGTGCCCACCACAGCACCCACCGTGCCCGCCACAGCTCCTACCAGGCCCACCACAGCACCCGCCGTCCCCACCACAGCACCCACCGTGCCCGCCACAGCTCCTACCAGGCCCACCACAGCACCCGCCGTGCCCACCACAGCACCCACCGTGCCCGCCACAGCTCCTACCGTGCCCACCACAGCTCCTACCAGGCCCACCACAGCACCCACCGTGCCCACCACAGCTCCTACCAGGCCCACCACAGCACCCGCCGTGCCCACCACAGCTCCTACCAGGCCCACCACAGCACCCACCGTGCCCACCACAGCACCCACCGTGCCCGCCACAGCACCCACCGTGCCCGCCACAGCTCCTACCAGGCCCACCACAGCACCCGCCGTGCCCACCACAGCTCCTACCAGGCCCACCACAGCACCCACCGTGCCCACCACAGCACCCACCGTGCCCACCACAGCTCCTACCAGGCCCACCACAGCACCCACCGTGCCCACCACAGCTCCTACCAGGCCCGCCACAGCACCCACCGTGCCCACCACAGCACCCACCGTGCCCACCACAGCACCCACCGTGCCCGCCACAGCACCCACCGTGCCCACCACAGCACCCGCCGTGCCCACCACAGCACCCACCGTGCCCACCACAGCACCCGCCGTGCCCACCACAACACCCACCGTGCCCACCACAGCTCCTACCAGGCCCACCACAGCACCCACCGTGCCCACCACAGCTCCTACCAGACCCACCACAACACCCACCGTGCCCGCCACAGCTCCTACCAGGCCCACCACAGCACCCACCGTGCCCACCACAGCACCCACCGTGCCCACCACAGCACCCACCGGTCCCGCCAAAGCGGCATTCCCGGGACTGGCGTCGTTCAAGATCGAAAAGGTGAGGCCCTCCTCGCTTGCCTCCTTCTCGACCATCGTCAAGGAGGACGGCGTGGCGGCGCCGGGCGCGGGGACGCCCGCCTCAAAGAGGGGACCGTCGACGGCCGAGGAGAAGCGTGGGGAGGCGGCGAGCGCGAGGAGCGATCGGGAGCGCGAGGCGGAGAGGCGCGCCGCGCCCGTGCTCAAGCGCCGCAACTCGAGCGCGGACAGCCTGGAGGAGCTCCTGTCCTGCGTCGAGCCGGAGGCCTCCGACTCGGACGCGGACTCCGGGGGCGGCGACCCCTCGGACGGCGCGTCGCCCGCGCCTCGCGGGGGATCCGAGGCGGGACGGGCGGCGGCGCCCAGCAAAGCGCCGCCACTCGGTGCCGCCGAGGGGAAGGGCCGGGCGCGACCGCCGGCCTCGCTGGCCAGCGATGGCGAGGGCCCGTGGCGGGACGGGCGCAGTCTCGGCGGTGTGAGCCAGGTGGGCGAGGAGGAGGAGGAGGAAGAGGAGGAGGAGCTCCCGCCTTGGCTGGCGGTGGGGGTGGCGGTGAGCGTCGACCGCAGCGAGCTGCAGACCGGCACGGTGCGCTTCCTGGGCAGCGCGGAGTTCGCGCCGGGGACCTGGGTCGGGGTGGAGCTGGACCTGCCCGCAGGTGAGCATGACGCGCTTCGACACGCGCGCGAGGTTTATTCACAAAGATTGCCCCGTGTGTGGCCTTCAAAGGCTGCAGAGCTACAGTGCTGTGCGCAAGGAGGTGCTGTGGACAGCACCACGCCCCGCCGTCTTTATCTCCCCAGTGCTGATGTTTGCACACTGCCCCATATACTTCCTGAAAGCCGAGTCGATATAGGGAAAGTCCAGGACCGTTTTAGATAACCACCGGCCGCCAATGTTGGAAATCAAATCCAGGTCGGTCGGTTCTTCACTCATTGCGCTCACTGCCACACGATTGATCCACACAAGTGCATATACAAGCACCTTCGTGCGTACGCGCTTGCATGCAGTTGCACACTTGTGAAAAGGGTGGCAAGGGCTAAATAATTAATACTGAAAAAATCAACAACTGAGCTTTTGAATATGGAATGTTGAAATCTCCATTGCCGTTGCTCACCAGAATGTCTGACATGTCAAGACCTTTAGTTAAGCTTCGTGTTAATCTCATTCTTCTGTCTCCCATTTCATTTTCCGCCCAATAGGAGGCACAGCTGTCCCCACGTGGGCAGAAACCAAATGCCCTCTCGGGGTCCCGACAGCCACCAGCAGCCACTAGCACTGCACTGGCACGGCCGGCCACATCAAGGCCCTCTATACCACAGCCGGTCACATCGGCATCCACCCCCAAAGCCAGACAGTGCAGAGTTTGGTCCCAATTGAAGCCCCAATTGCCCCGGACCTCAAGGCCATGTAGACGACTTGGCTGCCGACTGCTCGGCTTTATTGTATTCACTGACCCGGTGATAGCCGATTTACTCCGGAGTTTATGTTACAAAGCGCTTTGGAGCTCATGATAATGTGTGTCAGCGTGTTTGGTTTCTGGATGTCAATACATGTTAAAGTCTATGTGCAGGCCCTTTTTTAATCCACTGCTGGATGAGGGCCTCCCCATGCCGTTTGGATCGTGGGAGTTATTTGACCATATTGGTCAGCGTGGGATGGTGAAGGGCAGGGAAGACAGACATGGAAGCATAGAAGTACAGTCCCACAATTAATTATTCTGCACTGCCCATCAAGCACGCAGCCCCGCAGAAGTTTCTAACACCTGTTACGTAAGCATAGTCGTCGCCCATATTAATGGGACGCAATGTTAGATCGAGAACTCGGAAGTGCGGAGCCAGAAAGAAAAGTCTCTCGTTTGCTAGCCTGGATAGGTGAGGGCTTGGACAGGTGAGAGCCTGGATGGGTGAGAGCCTTGAGATGCTGCTTGAAGGTGTATACAGTGGGAGCGAGTTCCAGGTGGCAGCTACAGAGAAACGCCGCTCAGCCACGACGGCTATTGGATGTGCTCTTGTTCGCTGTAGTCAGTGGTGTGGGTAGGGTGGAGGAGCGGTATGGGGGGGGGGGAAGACCCCTTGAGAGACGGCTCGGTGGCACAGGATAGTGATTTTGTAACGTATCCTGAGCGCTATTCAGGCTGAACCCTGCTTAGGCTGCGAGATCCGATGAGATTGACGACATTGTGGGTGCTGTGCTAGTGACTGATGTGTTCTAGTAACTGATGAAAGACAAAATAGGAGTCCATACTCTTTTGGCTCTTTCGTTAAAGTCACGTAGGTAAAAAATATATTAAATCACGACGTTTCGGGTGCAACACAAGTGCCCGTCATTAAGTGCAAACAACGACAGCAATAAACAATTAGCTGAAGTGGGCAATAGGTTGTTTCCACCTGATGACGGGCACTTGTGTTGCGCCCGAAACGTCGTGATTTAATTTATTTTGTACCTACGTGACTTTACCGAAAGAACCAAAGAGCATGGATTCCTGCAGTCACGAAAACCTCAAATCTCGATTTAAAAAATAGGAGAGTTTTGTGGCCTTAGGCGGTGCGCCGCTTGTTGGCCGCTCTCGCACGTGCAAGGCGCCCCACGGGCCGCTCTGTTGTTGCAGACGCTTCTGCAATGGTGCCTGCTCGCCACGTAACACTCCCGGTCGCCACAGCTCCCGTCACGCCGTCCTCCCTCTTTGTATGTTAAACACAACATTGGCGGCAGGGTGATCTGCACAGTCTGCCGTGATGTATGTATGTACGTACGTTGAACTTCTTTCACACCGTACTTAGACAACCGTGCGCACGATCCCGTGGCCATGGTTCAAAACCCAGGCCACGTTCACTATTATTGATTTTTTTTTTTACAGTTCAACTTAAAATTGAGTTCATCTTTGCATTGCGCTCATCCGCACATGCGCTGGAGGGACAGAGACTGCCGGGTGCGTTGCATGCCACACCACTTGCCTGTGTGCTGTGTTGGGCCTAATGGGCACTCGCAAACAACACTCGCCCCTTACTGGCTGTTCGGCTAAACAAAGTGGGGGAGTGTTGCGTGCGGCACCACGAACCCGGCGACCCGAGTTCGAATCCCACTCACGGCCAACAATAGTGACGATTATCTGAACCAGTCCTTGGGCCTCCCCTAGGTCGACTCAGCCTCAAATTAGTACCTGGTGCAATGTATACAAATATGGTGCTGGCCTCTACCGTGCCGGGATTAATAGGCGCTCGCTAACGGCACTTGCCCCAAAAGTCTGTTCAGGCTATAATGGGGATCTTTGTCTTGTGCGGCGTCGTGCTTCGCGTGCAGGCATGCGTGTGCACATGTGTGCTCGTATCTTAAACGTGCGCATTAATCTTAATTGTTTCCCGCCCCCTCCCCAGTTTAACTTGATAGTTTCCGAAATAACCGCCTGACACTTTATTTTTTTTTACCGCAATTATAGTCCAAACCAAAAATAATGATTAAAGAAGTGCTACACGCAATTAGTTTAACGAAATTCCAATTCGACTAACTTGTAATCAACACACACCGAGAGGGCCGGCGGGCGAGCGAGCGTATAGCTTGACGTGTAATTACTCTGGGAAATATGGATGAAACTTTATATGCGAAAGTTGCAAAAGAAGAAAAAAGCCGCGAACCTTCGAGGTGGCTTGGTGGCTCCCAGGGGGGTCTAATTCGTCTGTCAAGAGCGGAGCGCGCACCGCCGGGGTCCTCGGTTCAACTCCCAGGAATCCATCCATCTGCGCGTAACTCACGCGGCGGATAGCGGGGCGGATGGTCTCGGCATGGGGCGCCGCGCTCTGGCTATAAAAGGACGTTGTGCGAATGCGATCTCAAGTTCGCTGAATCCAGATCAGAGTGATACTTCAGGTGACCTTTGCAGGGGTAATGCCTCAAAGTTAACCTACTTTCTACACCATTAGTCAGTTACACAGTACCACCCAGCTCTACCACTACACCACCCAGCACTACCACTACACCCAGCACTACCACTACACCACCCAGCACCAGCACTACATCACCCAGCACTACCACTACACCACCCAGCACTACCACTACACCACCCTGCACTACCACTACACCACCCAGCACTACCACTACACCACCCACCGCTACACGACCCGGCACTACCGCTACACCACCCGGCACTACCACTACATCACCCAGCACCACCACTACACCACCCAGCACTACCACTACACCACCCAGCACTACCACTACACCACCCAGCACCACCACTACACCACCCAGCACCACCACTACACCACCCAGCACCACCACTACACCACCCAGCACTACCACTACACCACCCAGCACTACCACTACACCACCCAGCACTACCACTACACCACCCAGCACCACCACTACACCACCCAGCACTACCACTACACCACCCAGCACTACCACTACACCACCCAGCACTACCACTACACCACCCAGCACCACCACTACACCACCCAGCACTACCACCACACCACCCAGAACCACCACTACACCACCCAGCACTACCACTACACCACCCTACACTGCCACTACACCACCCAGCACTACCACTACACCACCCGGCACTACCACTACAACATCAAGCACTACCACTACACCACCCAGCACTACCACTACACCACCCAGCACCACCACTACAACAACCAGCACTACCACTACACCACCCAGCACCACCACTACAACAACCAGCAATACCACTACACCACCCAGCACTACCACTACAACACCCAGCACTACCACTACACCACCCAGCACTACCACTACACCACCCAGCACTACCACTACACCACCCAGCACCACCACTACACCACCCAGCACTACCACTACACCACCCAGCACTACCACTACACCACCCAGCACTACCACTACACCACCCAGCACCACCACTACACCACCCAGCACTACCACTACACCACCCAGCACTACCACTACACCACCCAGCACTACCACTACACCACCCATCACTACCACTACACCACCCAGCACTACCACTACACCACCCAGCACTACCACTACACCACCCAGTACTACCACTACACCACCCTGCACTACCACTATACCACCCTGCACTACCACTACACCACCCAACACTACCACTACACCACCCATCACTACCACTACACCACCCAGCACTACCACTACACCACCCAGCACTACCACTACACCACCCAGCACTACCACTACACCACCCAGCACCACCACTACACCACCCAGCACTACCACTACACCACCCAGCACTACCACTACACCACCCAGCACTACCACTACACCACTAGCACCACCACTACACCACCCAGCACTACCACTACACCACCCAGCACCACCACTACACCACCCAGCACCACCACTACACCACCCAGCACCACCACTACACCACCCAGCACCACCACTACACCACCCAGCACCACCACTACACCACCCAGCACCACCACTACAACACCCAGCACCACCACTACACCACCCAGCACCACCACTACACCACCCAGCACTACCACTACACCACCCAGCACTACCACTACAACACCCAGCACCACCACTACACCACCCAGCACTACCACTACAACACCCAGCACCACCACTACACCACCCAGCACCACCACTACACCACCCAGCACCACCACTACACCACCCAGCACCACCACTACACCACCCAGCACC